ACTAATATAAATAGTAGATTATTTAAATTGGATCGAGAAAAAGAACATGTTATAATGACTATCATCTCATTCCAACAGCTACGTATCGGAAACATTTGTTAAAATCTCCAAAAAAGATACGGTCGATCGATGTGATCCTGACCGTATATACGACCTGAAATATTTTAACGGATGCTAAAAATGTTCGTCTTCATCGTTCATGTTTCTCATCTAAGTTCCAATATCAGTCGGATAAAGTAAGCGTTTTAATGAATCCTCACGGTATACAAATGTAACAGCCAGCAATAAATATCATTAGTCACCGATAATTTGCACAACCACTCTCTAAATATCAACACTTTTATCTACTGAAACAGTATAATTGTTGTTTATTTATTTAACCATATTCCTTTCGCTATGTTATCGTTTACTTTCATCATGTAAAAAAATAAAAAAAAGGTTTCATCTCTCTTAAATCAGGCGTTCTCAGTCAGCATTTACGAAAAATAAGTGAAACACTCTTATCGCACGAACCTTCTATTCTAGTAAAAAGAGGTTTAAACTTGCTGGATGATCAACATTTGGTGAGAGCTACGACCACACGAAATTAGAAATCTTTAGCTATCATAGTTCTTGAGTTACACGAGGAGGATGCTTTTGAAGAATACTGTACAATCATATGTGAGTATAGGCTCATCCTTGAACAGCTTCGCTCAAGAAAGGAAAAATTTCGAAGTTATTCTGAGTATGAAAAATTTTGCAGTTATATGTAAGTAAGTTTGCGAAGTAAAACGGTGAGTTTCACCAGGGATAGAAGTGACAAAAAAGTTTTACTTTTCAAAAAACAAAGATCCCGCTGACGATTAAGCTTCTTTTATAGTACGAAAACGCCTACAACCGAGAAAATGTGCCTATTTTGGACACTTTTTAACGATTTAATTAGATGAAAGCTTTAGAGTTAGTAAATTGCGATTAGATGGAATTTCATCTCCTGTTCTCATTTTTTGTAATCCAACGATAACTACTCGGGATAAACAGAGGCACAACTAGGATTTTTATACTTCTGGGCCATCCTCCAAAGAGCTATGAAAAATCCTTCAACCTGAATGGATCGAAAGGCTTCTTCTTGCATGCCAAATTTTTTCGTTCAATGCCAGCGTCTCTTATCCATGGTTATTTCTTTTTGTAGTTAGCTTGAAGGGTAAATAACCCACCCCGTGCTACAAAAAGCCTTTGAGTCCGATTTAGAAATGAGATACTTTGGTATGAAAATTTTTGCGGTGTTTGGCTCCGATATTGATGTGATCCTCTTGCTTTTATGCTCTCGAGGCACTCTATCCATATTAAATTTCCCGGACCTCTTAGGAAAATCTAATCTTTCAATGATGATTTGATTATTCAATCACGAACAGGCAAACCGATAAGCAGATTATGTTGGTCGAAATTTGTTTTGCGTTCACGTTGGCTTTTGGTTACAAAAAGTTTTTGATACCTTCCGAATGGAAAAAAAACAGAGCTTCGATCCAAACACTGAAACAAAATTTTCTCTTAGTCAAGACGCAGCTCTCATTTGGCGATGCCCAGATCAAAAAATCAGATCAAGATCTTACATGATCTTGTAAAATCTTACGGAAAATCATAGAAACGGATTCATCTTATAAAAATCATACAAGAATCTGATGAAATCTTACTATAGGATCTTACATCAAGAATCAGTGTCTAAATTTCTTACAGAATCTTACAAATTCTTATACGAATATTATGAAATCAGACGGAATCGTACAAGAATCTTATAAGATCTTACAGCAAGATTCTTTGACCTGGGTGGCCTATTGTCGCGTCTCGCAGTGAGGTTGCGCCACTAGAAATAAACTATAGTTTTTTCACCTATAATCCCTGTATCGAGAGAAATTGATACCTGTGAATACGTGCATTGATGAGGAAATGGCGCCATCTATTTTAGTTGACTTATTTGTTTTTACAAACGAAAAAAGGAGTAGAGACCAACTCACCTTAATACCGCAATCGCAATGGTCGTCCTCATAACTGATTTCTCGTCGTTGAATCACTGGCAGTGTATTCTTTCTTTTATGTGAGCTTAAAGCTGACATGTAAATTATTTGTTTGTTAATCGCTTCTGCAACATAGTCAGCTTGTTATAAACTACATTTTTTTTGTCTGAGTAAACATGTCTTCTATGCGTGCTTTTATCTACTTTAGATTGATCGGTGTTGAGATTGCAAAGTTTTGTGAAAAAGTTTGAAATATTTTTTTACGAATGACTTTGTGATTTTCACCATGTTATTCCTGATTCCAATAAAATCACACCACACGATTGCTGTTGTTGAACATTTTACAGCATTGTTGTGTCAGTGATGATCTCGTTTGGAATAGGATGAAATCTTCATTATTTCTGATTAAAGATCATCTTAACAGCTCGTTTTTTCTTCTGTACTAGTTACTACGTTATTCTTGCAGTTGACGTAAACAAAACATGAGTTATTTTAATACTCCTCCATTGAACACGAATCACAACAATAATCAAGCATCAATGCCAAATACTTCGAATTCTTATCCATTTCCGTCCCTACCTCCACCTCCTGGACTCCCTTATCCTCCATTTATGCCTCCGCCAAACGTGTTTTCATCAACTTTTCCAGCCCCACCAATTCACTATACTTCAATGAATGGAGCTCAACAGTATTCTTTCTACCAAACAACTATGCTTGCATATCAACAGCAGCAGCAGCAACAACAGCAGAAGCAAACATATTCTTACTCAACGATGTTTACTCAACCTCTACCACCGTTACCGATAGTCACTCAGCCAACAACACCATCAGTACAACCACCGTCTGATGATAAACAACAATTACTAACAGACAAAATCAATGGTGATAAAGACGTTGTACAGGTCAAGTACACGCCGGAAAGATTGCCAGCAAAAAAAGACACGTACTTCTCTGATAAGAAAACAGGTAAAATGACGTTTAATTTGTTTTGTTGCAAAAAAGGGAAGTAGAATTGTGTGAGGTTATAGCACGGTGTGAGCTCTGTTGTCTCTCATTTAATCGACCGTTTGTTCTAAGATGAGTAGCCCAAAAGAACTGTTTTATTGACTATTGACTATGTTTTATTGGCTATTCAACATAATTTTAAGAAAGGTTATCGAATGTATTTACTTAGATCAACCTGTGAACAATGATAGATGGTCGTCGAATAAGCAAAGATCAAATGATACTTCTGTAGTAAGAAAACGACCTTTCTCTCGTTCACGTTCTCGTTCAACTTCACCACCAGTACCACATCGTAAACAAACCAATGATCGATATTATTCAAATAAAAGATCTCGTTTCGATAATAAATCGCCATTGTTCTATGATCGTACTACACTAAATGCGAGGGAAGAATATAAAGATAGTGAACGATCAAAAAATGAAAAGAATTTCGTTCCACCTTTTGATGCAGTTCCAAGGCGAAAAAGACAAAATGAATTTATTGAGGATGAATATAATGAGTAAGTGTAAGAGAGAAGGGGAACCAATGTAATTTATTGTTATTCATTCATGATTTTCTTAAGTTCAAATTCTGATAATGACGATAATAAATCTCAAGAAACCAAAAATGTGTACGTTCGAACATGTTCATCAGAAATTTATTATCGACGAGATGAACAGGTATCTAGAACACTATAGGCTCTTATTTTGTATATTACATTAGTTAGTTTTGTGTTTGTTCAAGAATCCACGAATTATTCATGCTACTCAACGTTTAAAAGAACTATGTGAACGTTTCAAAAAAGATGTTTTATCGCAACGTGAACAATTTCGCTGTGAATCGAAAGTATTTGAAGAAAAAAATTATTGGCAAATATTACATAAGTTGAAAAATTTTGGAACAAAAAAATGTCGTTGTGATAGTCATGGTACGATAATGAATGTATTGTATTTTGTGCATAAAAAACAACTACTTTGATGGTTATTTTAGACTCATCTGATAGTTGCTGTGATGAATCTCAGGACGATGATGAAGAAAATGAAAAACAATCGGATGATGATGGCGAAAATTTGTTGACGATTGAAATAGAACGAAAGAAACAAGTACCGCATCGATTGCATCCAGATTTATGGTTTAATGAATATAAACAGGTATGTCTATCTAAGGAGAAGATCATTCAGTCGTTATTTTTCATTTATTTTAAGGGAAATGATGGCCCTGTATGTCGATGCAGTACGGACGATAGAAAGTTTGGTATTCGACACCAAATGTTTTATGGAGAAAAAGTATGGAACACAAATTAGTGTCCAGCCAAGCTTCATCTCTTCTGTTACTATTTTTAGGCAATTCCATTGTGCAATTCATGGACAAATAATGCCGATCGTCTATATCATTATCGTATAACACTAACACCAGACACAAATTTTATTGTATGTATTGTTTGTTGATTTTTTATTATAATCATATGTATTCTTTGCTTTATTTTAGCTGAAAGAACCAACGCTCATCACCTACGATGATCATGATTATACATTCGAAGGATTTTCGGTACTTTCACACGTTTCACTAGCAAACGTGAGTACGATTGATAAATTCGGTTTTAAAGATCAATTTATATATAATATTTTTCAGCTCGCTGTTGTCACAGATGAAAATTCACGTCTATGTTTGGGGATCTCATTTGTGATTAGGAAAGAGTAATAGTTGTATACTCCATCTTTTCGGTCTTGTTCAAATACGCAGCTTTTATTGCACAAATGATGTATCATTTAACTTATATAATCCAGACTTACTGTGGTGGTGTGATCGATAGGTCTGATGTGCAATAATTTGACAGTAGAACTCTACCTATGTGCGACTTGTAGACGATCGATTAGCAACTTTTTTGACTTATTTCACTTTCTCTATTCTCTCCGATAGATGAAAATTCACGTCTATGTTTAGGGATCTCATTTGTGATTAGGAAAGAGTAATAGTTGTATACTCCATCTTTTCGATCTTGTTCAAATACGCAGCTTTTATTGCACAAATGATGTATCATTTAACTTATATAATCCAGACTTACTGTGGTGGTGTGATCGATAGGTCTGATGTGCAATAATTTGACAGTAGAACTCTACCTATNCACAAATGATGTATCATTTAACTTATATAATCCAGACTTACTGTGGTGGTGTGATCGATAGGTCTGATGTGCAATAATTTGACAGTAGAACTCTACCTATGTGCGACTTGTAGACGACCGATTAGCAACTTTTTGGACTTATTTCATTTTCTCTATTTATTTTAGGTGAACGATTGTATCGTTGTTTATCATAATATTGATTATGCTATTGGTATAGAAGAAGAAAAATGTGTTGAACATTATACGATATCTGAATTGGATTTATTACAACAGTATATTTTCATTGATTTGATTGAATTGTATGATATTCAATGGAAATTACCAAATGTCGATTTAACATCGACATGTTCATGTTTTCATTTTTTCCCCCGTTTTTCGCGACAATTGCCGCAAAATGGTGGCAAAGAGTTATTGAATGCAGCTGAAATGCTTCTATATTTTTTAAAACATTTAAAACCATTAGTACCCAAAGAATTAAATGAACGTTGTGCAACAATGTCGGTTGATGCATGGGAAAAATATGTGTCAAAAATACAAGGATCAATTATATCATTTCCAACAAAACGGCCAAGTTGTGTACGTTTAGATCAGTTGGATAGAGAACCATTGGTTAAAAATGAATCAACATATCCACTTATTGTGCACTTTGGTAAGATCATTTTTTTTTCTTATATTGAAGTTTTGTCGCATTTCGAAAGTTTTTTAGCTATAGCAGACTGTTATAAAAATAATAATCTGCGATAAAGTAGATCAAGTAATGAATATAAAACTTGATGTATATTCATCTATCTTTTTTAGGTATGCGTCCGGCTATATTATCGATTCAATATAATCAAGAGTATCGTCAAGCCTATAAAGCCTATTTGAAAGTGTTTTTTTTATTAAAAAATCGTAAGCCAACAGACGATGACAAACAAAATTTACGAGATAAAGAATTAAAATTAAAACAAATAATATTGAAAAATTCTGAACAACTAAAACGTGAAACGGTTGTCGTTATTTCATCTGAAAATGCTTATCGTACCGGAATAAAGTCAGATCTAATTCAATATGGCCTATTAATATCGTCATTACATGACCATCTAAGATTTCATATCAGTTTAAAATGCTTAGAAGACAATCTCATACAATATCAATTTAAAAATCGATCGTTAATGCAATTGGCATTAACTCATCCAAGTGGTAATTATGTTTTACATAATAATTTGGGACCAAACCCAGATCATGTTAAAAATACACTGGCTAATTGTCGTGTTAGAAATACAATGTATGGCGATCGAAAACAATTATTTCGTCCAATAACAAAGAGAGGTGTATCTACATTATTCAAAATAATGGCGAAGAAGGCAAAAAATTTTGAACATATCTCAGAAATAACAAATTATGAACGACTGGAGTTTTTAGGTATAGTAAATTATCTTAAAACAGAGGCAGAGAAGTTGTATAGAGAGTTTTTTCTTCAAGTTTTTTTTTTGTAATATTGTGATGCTGATTAACTCTCGTTAAAACAAATTCTATTGTTTCTTTTTCTCTTACCGTTTTAGGTGATGCATTATTAGAATTTTTAGTTAGTATCCATTTATTCTTTTTATTTCCACAATTTGATGAAGGGCGCATGTCAACGTTTCGTGTTGGTCTTATTCAGAATCATTTTTTTACCATATTAGCGCGAAATTTACAGTTAGAGCATTTTATTATTTATAATCATGGTCCTGATTTATGTTCTCATTCAGCGTTGAATCATGCTCTAGCCAATTCATTTGAAGCTCTAATGGGTGCTATTTATCTCGATGGTGGTCTATATATTGTTGATAAAATTCTGTCAAAAATACTCTTTTTTAATGATCAAAATTTGACTGATATATGGAATACATTTAATCCATATCCGTTGAAAATACAATATCCCGATAGTGACCGACATCTAATTGAAAAAGTACCGTTATTAAAAAAATTAACAAAATTTGAACAAGAAACAGGCATTGAATTTCAACATATTAGAATGTTGGCACAAGCATTCTGTACGAGACCTATACCGCAGAATGATTTGACAATTGAAGATAATGAACGTTTAGAATTTTTAGGTATGTCTGCGATACACATGGTTATAATATGAGAGTTCATTGAAAGATGGAGAGAAAATATTGTATTCTAATAGAATAGCCTCTATAAAATTCGAAGTCTCTGTAGCGCGTGTACTAATGGAAATTTTAGTTCGTAGCTAATTTTTTTTTGTTTTAGGTGATACAGTTTTAAATTTTGTTGTTAGTGATTATTTATATCGTCATTTTCCAGAGCATCATGAAGGTCATTTATCATTATTGCGTAGTTGTACAGTTAGTAATCCAACTCAAGCGATTATGTACGATGAATTAGGCATGCAACAATATGTTGACTGTGTTCGGGAACAGTTACGAATAACAACACCAAAAATTGTTGAAAAAAGTTTGAAAGCAAAAGCTGATGTATTTGAAGCATTCATTGCTGCTTTATTTATTGATCAAGGTTTAGAAGCAATCTATTCATTTTGTCGTGCAACAATATTTCCACGGCTACAAGAATTTATTTCTACTCAATATTGGAATGATCCGAAATCAAATTTACAACATTGTTGTTTAGCTCTCCGCGATCCAAATGATAGAAATCCACCATTACCAGAATATCGTGTGTTAAAATCAATCGGATCATCGAATAATGTACAATATAAAGTTGGCGTCTATTTTCGTAAACAACGTTTAGCTATTGGAAATGGACGTAGTATACATGATGCTGAAATGGCATCGGCTAAAAATGCATTAGAATCACATGCGTCAATGTTTCCACTATTACATTATCAAAAAACGGTATTAGAAAAAAAGTTTGTATCGTCATCG